TTCATTTCGCACTCATTTACCTTTACCCCACAATCTCGGTATATAATGTCTGCTACTAGTGATTCACCTACCGGTGTAAAGGTTTTGGCTTTTGATTCGCATATATAGCAAGTGCAAATGAAATAAAAGAATGTGTAGCTCCAGGATCAATTAAAATATAAGCATTTTTATCAAAGATAGATAACATACCCATTGTAACATCTGGTGCCCCTTCTGCTGCCTGCTGCATCATAGCAAAAACCTTTCCTTGCTTCTTCGGCTGTCCGGCTTGAACTTTCGATTGGGCACCACTACCACTTGCAATATTAGACTGAATTGCACTGCTTGCACCTGCTCTATTTGCTAAAGCATCTCCCTGTCCTTGCCTCGGTCTCATACTTCCAACACTCTGTTGAGGAAATACTCTCTGCGACCTACCACCCTCCTGTACTAACATTGGGCAATCTCTCTTAAAGTGTCCAACTTGGCCGCAGTTATAACAAACACCAACCCTTTGAACTTTAAACACTCGCTCAAGTGAGTTCTTCCACATAACTGGCAATAAGGAATTCTAGAACTGCTAGAACTCTCACCCTGTCTGGCAGTAAATATTCTCGGAGAAGAACTTTGAGTATGAGGACGGTTAGTCATTGGTGGTTGTACAACACTGTGACTAAACCTGGAACCTTGACTTCCCTGCGATCTAGTCTTGAAATGACTCGGTCTGGACACACCAAGGCTAAATCCTCTACTGTCCCTATGTGGTGGTCTATAGCTAGAAGTACCCACCGATGTCTGACTGACACTTCCTCTAAATTGTGCATATTCTCTACCAATTGGTCTTTCAGAAATGCTCTTCTCTACTCTTAAGGCCGATTCAACCAATTTGCCAAATTCATTCTAGCCTGTAGCTGTCACTTCTGATTTGATTTCTTCTCTCAATCCATTTTCAAACCGTCGGCATCTATCAATTTCATTACTAACCAAAAACTTAGGCATACTTTGAAAGTTCAAGGAATTTCACCTGGTATTCTGCAACAGTCATTTGCCCTTGTACTAACTTCAAAAATTCTTCCAGGTAATAACAGAAGGGTAAATGACTGTTGCAGAATTTCACCTGGTATTCTACAACAATCTTTATATGAATGAGGGTAATAAGCATCATAAAAGATACGCTTGAACTCCGTCCAGGTAATAACAGAAGGGTCTTGATATGTACTCTTTATTGACTGCCACCAATCATATGCCCCTNNNTGACTGCCACCAATCATATGCCCCTTTTTCTAACAAGAAAGTGGCAAGGCGTAGTTTTCGATCATCTGGGCACCCCATGACATCAAATACTCTTTCTATCTTGATCATCCATGCCTGAGCAACTGAAGGATCAGCTGTGCCCGTGAAAACTTTAGCTCCTAGCTTTGTAGCCCTCTCAATACTAAAATTCTTGTCTGTATAGCGCATAGCTGACACCACAGCAGCAATTCTTTCAACAGCCATAGGATCATTTCAAGCTACATTACCTTGTCCCAAATGTTCTGAAGGCTGATGTACAGACTCATCCACTCCTTCTTGCTGTCTAAGGTCATCTTCATCAGGAGCAATGTGAGTTTGGGGCAACATATCTTGGAGCTGTCGAGTTTTACCATGGGTACTTTTCTAGTCGATCTCAATATCACATATATCTCACATTTCAATTCACAAATAATCCA